CCCCCCACACACACACACACTTTTTGTTGGGGTTTTGTTGTTGGTTTGTTTTAAAGATATGTTGTTATCAAATAAGAGTAGCAGTATATTAGAGTCCCATGAGCCTTATCATTGGTGAGCAGCTGTGCAGGGAAACTCTGACTGGCAGAATGCATTGGTAATGGGAAGTGCACTGAGCTGGGAAAAGCTCCATGCACTGACTGTAACAGAACGATTTGAGGAGCAAGTGGTTTCCAGCCAGCATGCTGTGCCCATGCTTAGACTTTTTCCCCTTGTGGCATGGGATTTCCACTTTAGGCACCTGTTCTCCTTCTTCCCATCCAGCATTTCTAACAGGATCTCTCCTCTAAGGAGGCGCACACATGGTTGCTCATTGTGCTGCTGTTTTGTAGGTTGGGATTATAGATTCTCCAGGCACTACTTGTTTGTTGCAAGGCTGCACAATACATTTTCTTCCTACATGCTTAGCAGTTTTTGATTGTAGCTGGGAGCTGTGAACTGCTGGTGACATTCTCCCTTGTCCTGTTGAACTATGGTCTGTCCCTTGCAAATGGGGAAGGGCAAGATTCGACTTGGATACCCCTGTTGTCAGGAATACAATTCCCCTTCCCTCCCCGGCCCCCCCCTCACCTCAGTGCTGGTGTTGTGTTCTTAAAACAACATGGTATCCAGCACCGTAACCCTACACTCCAGACTAATTATTCTTTTGTACTGGAATTAACTTTTAACCCCTGTGATGATAGTTTCTGGAATGGAGAGGAGCTTAGTTTCTGCTCGGCTAGGTCACTGGCATCCTGACCAAAAGAGTACGGGACTTGGGTAATGTTTCCTTAGTAAACAGGAAATTAAAAGAGCTTGGCAGTTCAGAAATCCTTATCACAGGTTACTTGCTGGGGAACTCAAATGTTTAGAACCAGTTAGCAGTAGAGTTGGGGTGATGCAGCTGTGATAGTCCAGGAAAAATGCAAGAGGCAAATTTTTTTTTTTTTTTGTGGGTGCTATCTTTTATCGGACTAAGCATATAGGTGGGAGGGACACGGGTAAGCTGCTTTTGGGTACCCAAAGTACTTCTTATCTAGCTTGTTTGTTTCTCCCAGCTACACACTTGGCCCAATAAAAGATAGCACCCACAAAAATCCTTGCCTAGAATTACTTGGGACTTTTTCATACTTTTAAGGAGCATGTCCGAATGTGCAGAGTGGGAGAAGAGGGGCTCTCAGCTCTTTCTTCCCCTCTTTATTTTTTCCCTCTAGGCAGGCAGGCCTTGCCATGGGAGCAGCACCCAGGGGACTCTTTTTAAAAGTCTCAAATTGGGTAAAAATCCCTTTCCTTCCCCACCTGCTCTTGGTGCCCCCTCCATGCTCAGTGGCATCTCTCATTCCTTACCTGCCACTGCCTTTGTTCCTGGCTGAACTGGGTGTGAGGAGAGCTCCAGAGCTGTTCCAGCCTTCCCTCCAGCTAGGCTGCATGTGGAGCTGGCCTCAGCTGGGAACAGCAATAGTGATGATGGGTGATGTTCCCTTCCCTGCTCCTTTCCTTGCTAACCCAGGAGCAGGCTTGGGGAGCACCAGACTTGGATAGGAAGCAGTTTAGGCTTGCTAGGCTTCAAGTTCCATTTGAATGTAGATGGAGTCTGTGACTGTTAGGTCCTTGCTGTGGCTGTGCCAGTACTGATACGTGGATGGCATCATTTGCCTGGGCAGTAGAAGGAAAAAGTGGGCAGCATTTACCATTCTGTTAATACAGTCTGCCTCCCATAGGGTTGTGGTACGTGACTGTTCTTTGTCAGGTCTAAAATTACTAGTGGGTCTGTCCTCATGTTGGTAAGAGAAGATTTATGTGGTAGTTTCCTTGGGTGTTGAGACTAGGCTCCTTATTTGGCAAGTTCTGTGAGGCATTGACGTGGAAAGGAACGCTCAAACTGTGTCCTGTTGCTTAAGCAAGCCAGAAGCTAAACAGTATTTGACAGTGAGTGAAAAATGTGGCCTTGCAAATGTAATGTATTGGGTATACCTTTCCTTCTGGTGTGGCTGCTTTGAGTTTGAACTCTGCTAGAAAAACTGTATGCATTGCTCTTCCAACAAGGCCCCTCTTGCTGTGTGGACATGATTGTGCTGATAGAGGCATCTTTTTTCCCACTTAGCTCAGTGGAGGTCAACATTTTTGGGAAGAGTGCAGAACTAAATTTGTGGCATGCCTGCCAAGTGCTACTGATTCCCTTCCCAATCTCCTGCTCTGCTTTCTGTTTTCTTCCCTGTGCTCTCTGCTTCATCTGCTCTTCTACTTTTTGCTTCCTGCCCTATTTGCTACTGTGCTGCCTGTTCCCTCCTTGATTTCCGCTTGCATCATACAGATGCTGTACCACTTGTGGCACTTGGGCTGCAGGTTGATCACCCCTGGCTTAGCTCGTGTTGTTCAGGAGGTGGTGCTGTTTTCCCTGGTATAACTGCTTCTCCAGCCAGTTTCTATGCTAGGGGGCTAATGGCTAATGCTAATGGCTGTGAGAGCAGCAGAGGCCCCATAGTGTAGACAGACCCTGAGATAACTGGTGTGACTCTTCTCAGTGCAGGTTAAACCTCCTCACACTGAAGAACTCCAAGTTAGGACATTCGGGGTACATCTGGGTGACATACCCTGGCAGGGATGTTCTGGAGCATCCCCCACCTACCTGCTCCTGTTTACATGCACCAACTCTGGACACAGGGCATCAAAGCCACTCCAGGGGCATTTCCTAAAGGCTGTCTCTGGCACACTTGATAGTAGCTTCACTGCTCCCTTCCCAAGTCTGTTGAATGTGAGGAGTGTTTAATTCACAACATGCCAAAGCTGCAGTGTAAACATGCTGTTAGTTGAGGGTGCATGAGTCAAAGTTGACTCTAATGGACTGCTGTTGCCTGGAGCTTGATGAGCTTATATCTTCTGCTTGGGGAAGAGCTGCTGCACTGGGGAACTGTGTAGGCTCTGCTAATGAAGCTGAACTCAAAGCAAAGATCTAAGGTGACTTTCCTCTTCCTTTTTATGTTAACTTCTGGGTAGTGAACACGCATCTTGCATTAAAACACAGGAAGGGCTGAGCTATCAAAACCTCTAGATTAAGGAAGTCCCACTGATAATCTGAATTCCTTTAAACTCCATTGTGCCTATGGAATAATTTTTCTTTTGAAATGCAGTCTTCAAAATATGAACGCCCCTACCAAAGTCAGAATAGTGGTCATTTCAGCAATCACTGTGGCTTTAACAACTGGAAAATTTTATCTTTGAAGGGCTTGATTTGTTAATGTCTTGTCAACTGAACACTTTTGCATGTAATTTGCATTACATTCTGTTTCTGTGTGCTGTTATGGGAACTTCCAAGAGGACCTGTGCCACAGCCAAGGGCACTTCTGTTCTTGTGCATGACAGCTGTTTGGCTGACGGTTGGTGTGGCTTTGAGTGGGAATGAATTCCATTGCAGTCTTCTCTGATCAGGTTGTGAAATGTGCCAGAAGAAACCCACTCACCCACTCTGCTGCTCCCTAGGATCCATCTGTCTTAGTGTCTGCCATGTCATGGGTCATTGTTTCAAGTGTTTTTACTGAAGTAATACTTAAGAGATCTGGCTTATGGAGCAAGACCCTGTCAAGCCAAGGCATTGCAACAAAGATGAGCCTGACCCGAGAGGGCTTACTGATGAAAACAAGACATGACTTGGCAAAATGCATACAGACACCTGGGGCCACCAGAAAACCATGATCTCTGCACTTCAGCTGCTTATCATTGCCAAGTTTTTTCTCTTGGCTGTTGTTCAGGTCCACAATAAAGGAGGAGAGCTACTTATTCAAAGAAGGATTTGGAGGAGGACAGTGAAGTTGCTTTGTGACTTGTTTATAGTAATCTCTTCCCAAGCATGGGAGAAGCTACATCTAAGTATCTGAAAAATGGGTGAAGGCTGGCATTGTAGAGCTGAGTTCAGGAATTGATATTTCAATACAATCATAGAGAAGTAGGGCTGGAAGGTTACCTCCAGAGGTCATCTAGTCTGACCCCTAAGATGGGGTCATCCCTATCCAAACCATCCCATACAAATCCATAATCTAACTTCTATGTAAGACCACCATCAGTGCTGACACAACACAGACATGACACCCTAATCTCCAGGTCAAGCGGGGAAACTATGGTAGCCAGTGTCCTGCTCCTTTAAAAGGCTGTCAATATGCTTAAGAGGTCCCAGGTAGAGGGGGTGGTGTGGGGATAGCTCTGAAAGGTTAATTACTGGTTAGGCCAGTATTACTTGTTTCTAGCCATGTAGAAATGCAGGAGTATCCCACAAGTGTCCTAACAATTCCCTTGTGACCATCCTGCTTTCAAACTTGTTTTTTGTTTGTTTGTTTGTTTGTTTTCCCCCTCTGTCATAACTCAGTCCTTCCTCTCAGCTTTTCTGCAGCTGGATATCCATTTTTCTGCTTAGCTTGAATCACCTCTAGAAATCTGGTCACATCACCATAGTTTTTCTTTATTTTCCTGTTCTTTGCTTTGGGCCTTGAATATTTTCTTAGTAAATACCCTGTATTCTAGGATTTTAATCCTTCCCTCTTCCTCTTGGCGTTTCAGGCTAGATCATTTCTACTAAATGCCCTTTTTTCCTAAGGTTTGTGGTTAGTATCTAGTAGTATAATTCCTTCACAGAAGCTGCTGAACTTAATTGCATGGTGGCTAGTGTACCATTTAGTGGCTCTACTCTAATTATTTATTGAATCAATTCCTGTGCTAATTAGGATTTCACTGGTGACTGCTTCTCTTGCATGCTTGCTTGAATTAGCATCTCTGCAAAGTGGTCATTGCAGATGTTGAGAGATTGTTTTTGCCCTGTTATGACTGCAGGCCTGTTTCTTCTCAGGCCAGGACTAAACACCATGCTCCAACATTAGGACTTGTCCCTTGGGGAAGAGTTTAATGTCAATCAAAAACTAATGTGAAAGAGAGACCCCTGATGGTCACAGGCTGCAAGGATCCAGAGACTCTTTTTTCTGTTCCAGGGCTCCTCAGAGGAGCAGGACTGACTCCTTCCCTCCCTCCCCATACTTCCTGATCGTGCTCCCTGCTCCCTTTGACAGAGGCAAGGGTTTTCCTAGGGTGTGAACACACGGAACAATTAAAACATTTCGAATGCTTTTTTAAATGCTTGTGCACATACACACCCTTTCAAATATTCAAAAAGTGGTGGACAGTCCAAAATAGAACCTCTTGAAATGAAGAGCTATTTTGAAATGTTTCAATGACACTTGAACAGTTTGATTTGTAGGTAAAGTCACCCATCATTACTGCATGACTGGCCTGGAAGCTGGCACTATAACCCCTCTAGCACATTTACATTCCTCCCATGTGGAATTTGCATCCTTACAGAAACTACTGTGACTGTGTGGTCTTCTCCATAGACATTGAAACATTCTGGTGGGGTCCTTTTAGATAAAAGCCTGGCCCCCCTGCCTCTGACCTACGGCCAAAATATTAAAAGTATCCCAGGCCTTGGCAACTTTTTGTAGCAAGGAACTGCTGTCATGGAGCTTAAGGGTGTCACACTGACCCCACAGGTCACTCATGGAGTTGTCATTGCCATCTCCTGCTTCAGTGCAACTTTTCTCCCTGCTGCCCAGGTGAAGACCTTCTGTTACTGAAACACTGTAGAAATGTTCCAGCTCTATGGGCTAGATAAAATAGCTCTGTCAGCCAGGTCTGGCTCCATGGGATGTAGGTTGTTGACCCCTGAAGTATCCTATTAATTCGTGCCATCTTACCATGTTGGCATAATGCCTGCTGTATCAAAGGGTTCTTCCATTGCCAAGCATTCTAACTCATCTTTTTCTTAATCCTCTCCCAATGATGTGGATGCTTAATGTGCAAAAGTGTTAACCATGTGCCTGTTTTAGTTGACTCCTTCATCTGAAGCCCCACCAATATTCTGGAAATTTACCTTTTCAGGTTTTGTGGTTTTTTTGTTTGCTTATTTTTTAAAAAAGGGGGGCAAGAGAATGGAAGATCAGTTGCTTCCTTGCTTTATTTAGTTACCAGTGGTGCAGAATTGAAATAGTTTTGTGAAATATTTGTCAGCATACTTGATCACCATAGCTTAAACTTGACATTCCCTTGACAATTGTTTTTGTAGGTAACGTTACACAACTGAGGCGGAGAGGACATTTTTCCAAGTGCCCTGAGGAGTACAAACATTACTGTGTCAAAGGGAGATGTCGCTATGTCACGGTAGAACAGACACCAGCTTGCGTGTGAGTAAAATTCCCAACTGAGAGAAGGGGCATAAAATTGCACTGGCTGTGCCTGGAGAAGTGGAAATACTTAAGTATTGGCATATTTAGCCCCTAACCAACTCAATCTGTTCTGTCCCTGCTCACTTGTAGCACTGGGGGCTGTTCCAGAGTGTCAGACCCTTTTTGAAAGGGTGACGCAGCCTCTCCAACAGAAACATGATAGTGTGAAAGTCTTGAATCTATTTCAAGGCTGGAACCTTTCCCAAGCTGGCTTAATATATGTAAGCAAGTCCTTGGATGTCAAATACTATTTGGGCTTTCCAGTAAAATGGAGGTAATCAGGTAACAGGAGTGGGAAAGGGGAATCTTCTGAGAAACTTTTTGTCATTGAGGATGTAAATAGGAAAAAGGCTTTTACATTTTCCAGGATTGTGGAGCTCTGATCATGTCCACAAAACTCCAATTTTAAAGAGGAATAAAAAAATATGTATAAGGAGCCCTGTCTTGCTCACATTTGAAGTTAAAAGCAAAGCTCTCAGTTGCCAAAAATGGCTATGGGAAGAGCGTGAAGATGGTTTTAACTGAAGCTTTCCCCAATAGGTCGGTCAAAGCCTGCTGTTAAATTCTTGTCAGCCTGTCACTTCCTAACTGTTCTCCAATAAAGCTTGTATTTTTACCTCTGCCAGGGAGGTGCCCAGGGTCAGCTTTCTTGACCTGGAGTGATCAAGGCTGTATCAGGGTAATGTGCAGTGAATTATGTATTTCATTTTGTTCTGTTGCTTCCTGTGGCTTGTTCTCCATCCCCTTCTTCCTTGCCCCCCACCCCAAATTTACAGTAATTAGCTGGAAAAAAGATGGAGAATTGATCTTATGGAACGACAACAGTGGCTCCAAAGATAAAGTTTAAAGGACTATTCTATTACAAGCTGTAATGATCAGGAGGAACCAGCAAATATGCAGGTGTTCAAATCGTTTCTATTTATTTCCTGTCCAAGCCAACATGGCCCATAACATGCCAACTGTACTTGTTAAGTCTGGGTGGTCATGTGTGTACAGGATTTTATTTCTCCATGATGGATTTAAACCATCTGAAATCTGGCTTCTTTGTCATGGGTGCTGAGAGGCAGTGGGGATGGTATCCATGAGAAACTTGTTGCTGCCATCATGTACTCTCAGCTTTCCTTGTAAATCATAATCAAAGTCATCTTCAGACATTTCAACCCATTTCTGGTTTGTCCTGCTCAAGTCCATGCTCCAAAAAGCTCCAGTCTGTGTTTTAAACAGGAACTTTAGTATTCTTGTTCTAATGCTCATTGCAAGCCCACCCATGGGAACACAAGTCTAGATAGTTACCTGATGTTGCTAGCATCGTGTTAATCTAACCCAGCTCAGAAGTGGCCTGGGTAACACCACAATACAAGCCCCAGAGTCCTGCCTGATGATGGGTTCCACCATCACTGATGTTGTTGTAGCCCCACCAAAACAATAGGAAGCAAACAGTAGGAAAGGTCTTGATGTGGATGAGCCCAAACAGGCTTGACTGCACATTGGGATATCCAGATGTGGGGATGAGTTTAGTGTGTGGCCACAGCTGATGATATGTCTGTATCTAGCAACAGGAGTATAGCATTTCCAGTGCATGCTCTGTTTTTAATGAAGCGCTTTCCTTTTTGATGGGAAAGTTGAGAGAGAGGGGAAAACACATGTGTTTACACAGTCTTTAGTGTTGTCCCACTGCAGTGACACCAGTTGGGGCAGTACTGTACCAGTTCACACGTTTGTTGACAAGCACTTTCCAATAAGACTCTCACTGAACTGTTGCCCTGCTGAAATTCCACTTGTGTGTGGGTATGGCTGCAAGGTGCAGATTACTTGCAAGAGGAATGTTACAGTAGCTTTGATCGTGTTAGCATAAATGACACTCAAGGAAGTGGGGAAAGCAAAGACATTGTTGGTGGAGGTCTTACAGAGCCCACTTCCTTGGGTTCACAGGGTGGTCAGAGTTCTCTTACCTTGTATACTAGAGATTCCATTCGTTCCTCTGACCAGGCAGCATGGATCTGGCTTTAGCTGACACCTAGGGAGGCTTTTAACTTTATTTAAATCCTAGTCAATCCACTTTTTGGCAGTGTTTTAAGCAAGGGAAATAATGGACATTGCTGATTTTTGGTGAAGCGAGGTGCAATACAAACCTGTGAGTCCTGGGCCAACTACATGTTTAGCAAAGAGAAGTTAAGTGCCTCTGAGATGGTTGCAGTTTAATTTGGAGAAATATAGGTACAGTGAAACTCATATTAGGCGCCCATTAGTAGTCAGCTTCTTGTTAAGAGACCATCAATGTTCAGCATCCCAGAATGCATTTGCTCCACCTTTTGTGAGGGAGTTGTCTCTACTTGGTATCTGATACACGTTGGGGCTTGAATTTCAGGGTGGGCCTACACCAGGGGTGGGCAATTATTTTGGGTGGAGGCCTGCTTACTGAGTTTTGGCAAGCCATTGAGGGCCTCATGACAGGCATCCAGGGGCAGGTAAATATTAATTTTCTAAACTTTTTTAGGGGCCCCACAGGCCAGATAGAATGGCTTGGCAGGCCGCATCCAGCCCGCAGGCTGCATTTTGCCCACCCCTGGCCTACACCCTCCTGGTTTGGTGGTACAATGGATGCTGGCACCAAATACTCTTCATGTGGTTCCTCCTTGCAGAAACAATGGGGTGCCCATTGAATCTCACCAGTGTGACAGGGTCCATGTCTGAGAGCCCACGGGCCTGGATGCTTCTGATCAGCTTCAGGTTAATATAAGCTCAAATAAAATGTTTGATGTAGACTCTGTGCTCAGGGAGGGGATATTGAAACTTGCTAGCACCTGCTCCTTTGTGCATCTCTGGGCAAGGTTGAGGCTCTGAAAGTCCATGATCAGCTTTAACTCGGCTGTGGGCAAAGCTGCATCCAATTCTTGGCAGGGTTCATCTGAAGGCTTGTCTGGCTTGTTACAACCCATCTCTCTCTATTGATACTTCATGGCTTGTGCCTATAAAGTTTAAGTGTAGCACAGCCTTTTAACTGTAGTCTCTCAGAAGAGAGAGAACACCTGCTTTATTCCTGTTCAGATCCTGATTCCAGGCCCAGTGGTGAGCAAAAGCTTCTCAACTCACCGGCCTCGGGAGTCAGCTGTTTCATCCAAGGGCAAGGTAAGTTTTATCTCTTCCCCAGAGCAGACAGAGCTGGGGGGATGGGTCTGTGACTAAGGCACATTTCATCCCCCTACTCTGATCCTGGAACTATGTAGGTATAAGCTGTTCAAGACACAGGCAGGAGCTATTTGAATGTCATATTTCAGCTTTTGGAGGTCTGGGCCCTTGATTGCTATTTCTGTAGTCTCAGGTATGTCTTACAGCTCTGACTCCTGAGCTTTTCCTGTCCCTTCCTTTTGCAGGTGTGAGAGAGGCTACACTGGAGCAAGATGTGAGAGGGTGGACATATTTTACCTGAGAGGTGACAAGGGCCAGATTGTAGTAATTTGCCTCATTGCAGCTATGGTGGCACTGATTGTGCTGGTAATCTGCATATGCACATGCAGTCAGTAAGTATGCTTTTTCACTTGGAAGTAAATATGCTTTCCCATCTCCAAAAGCAGTGGGAACTTTTGCATCTCTGTTGTGCTAGCTACAGTTAAACGTTTGATGGACCTCCTTGTCACTGCTCTCAGGCTCTTTTTCATTGGGTTTCTACAGGAGGAGTCCTGCTCAGGGGGACTTCTGGCATACCTTGAAAAACTACTGCTGCCCACTTGTAGATGGGCTTGCCCCAAGGGATGCTCCTATGACAACTCCCATTCTCTCCCTGCATTTGTTCCCCAAAGTCTAAAAGGACCTCTATCTTGAAAGACTTCAGTCTCTAAGGCAGGCATTTTCAACCTTTTCTAATAAGTGTACTCCTTCTGACTCAGTTTCAGCTCCTGTACTCCCTTTATATCTTTTTCTTGTTTTCAAGTGTGGGGGTGGGGGCAGATTGAGATCCACATGGAGTGGGGCTGGGGCCTGTGCTGCACAGCTGGGGTGGGGTGCAGGATGGAGCTGCAGGTGGCACATCTAGGGGGCATGGGAGAAGGGGTGGCTCCTGCTGCCATGTGAACCTCAGGAAGGCATGGAGGGGTGTGCGCCCCTGGAACTATGCAGGGCAAGCTGAGCTGGCCCAGTGATGGGGAGGGAGTGGGGCTGGAGCAGGGGCTGCCCAGCTGGGGTAGTGGACTGAGCTGTGTGGGGGGCATGCCTCTTGCTGCTACGTACACCCCTGGGAGGGCATGAGGGGGTTGGGGGAGGGTGGGCCTCCATATCTGTGTGGGGCTGGGTAGCCTGCAGCCAGAGCAGCACTGGGCTCTTCCCAGTGGGGGCTGGGCCAGGCTGTGATTGGGGTGGGCAACAGAGGCACTGGGAGCGGGGTTGGGGGGCTATGGTGAATTCTGGAGTGGCTGCAGCCCCCTCCCCCATAGCCCCATTCCTGTAGGCCAGTCACTGTGAGGGAGGGAGTGGGGGCAGGGACAAGTGCTGCACAGCCAGGCAGAGCCTGGGACTGAGCCACGCACACCCTGGGAGAGCACATGCCCCCAGATCTGCATGCGGGGCAGGCTGGGGCAGTACTGGGTTCTTCCCAGTGAGGGGTTGGGCCGGGCTGTGCTCAGGGTGGGTGGCAGTGGCGCTGGGAGGAGGCTATGGGGGTACTGCAGTCGCTCCAGAATTGACTGTAGCCGCTCCAGTCCTATTCCTTGCCGCCCAGTCCAGCCCACCGCCTGGCTGAGCCTGCACACAGATCTGGTGGGCACACAGCCCCCATCCCTCCTGGGGTGCGTGTAGCGGCAGTGCTGGGAGGGGGAGCTGAATGGGGGGAGAGCTCACATGTGGCAGCTGCCATCTGCTGCCAGCTATTGGCTGAGGGCAGCGGCCAATCAGGAGAGTGATCTCAGTTCCGGGTTGCATGTGCAACTCAT